ATGGATGGATGTTGAGGTTTAATGAGTAAGATTTGTATTTGCAGAACCTGAATTTAAGAAAAATATTCCATGAAAGTAATATTATGACCACTGTGCTTAACGTTACTGTCGTGTGTCTTCATGAAGTTTAGTGCAGACTGGTTAAGTCCAGCAGCCTGGTGTGTTCAGGTTCTTCTGGTTGGCTCGACTGTCAAATGTCAGCTTTGTCAGAGTTTCGTTAAAAATTTCGCAAATATAGCAAAGTTAATGTGAAACTAAGCCTAAAACCAGCTGCTTTTGAATCTCAAAGTGGAAGCTCTTGTAGTTGCAGCACTTAAAGGTGACAAAATACAGTCACAGATTGACACATGACATTTCCTTTCTGTGCCGCAGTAGACCGCTCAGCTGGTTCCAGAGGCGAGTGTATGAGTGGGACCCTTACTTCAAGTTTCCCAACAGGATCCTTGGCACTGCCATAATATCCCTTATAGGCCTATATACGGTACAGGAAAACATAGTTTATATTTCAGTTGTGTAAAACTAAACCATTTGTGCATCTACTGTGATTGCTGCTGTGTTTATTTGTCTTTCTGCTATTTCTCTAGCTGACACTGGCAGACTATAGCATCAGTGATGTTGTGTTTGACAAAGCAGAGATGTGGAAAAATACATTGAAAGAGGTGAGCACCGCCTGTAACCAGTCTGAATCCCTGGGAGCTATGATACCAACGCTGGAAGAATTAATCGACGTCTCCAGGAGTGAGTTTAAAAAACCAGACTGTTTAGGAGGCCGCATTAATGACCCGTGTGTTTCTTTATAGTCTGGAAATGCCATCACCACATTTCTTCTACTTTCTTGATTGTTAACATTACCAATAAGAAAATACTAAAAAAAACAGTCTCATTCAGGGACTGAATTTGGCCCAATAAATCAAACAAACACACGTCTGTAGGATATCAGGGACATAAACACCGTAATGAGCATAAAGTCAGGATAAAACTGATTTATTTTCTGTTTTTCTTTTAAGAGTCCTGGCTGGCCACCACCATCTTTGCTAGTCTCAACTCTGTTGCCTACACCTTACATATCTTGGTATGTTACAGGTAAGAGAGCTAAAAACAACAACAAAAGCATATAAAAATATTTTCCCTACAAGTGAGCAAAGCAACAAATCTGCATTTACCTGCATCATCTACATACTATATCAACTTAGGAAACACTTGAAGAGACTGTGGAAAGGACAGAAGGGTTTTCTCCCTGAGAAGTTTCACAAGCCTCGCTCTGCTACCAGTGTTGTAAGTAAAACACACACAATGTACAATTTGCTCGAAAATATGGGACACATGTTACAAACTGTATGGTCACTGAACCCAAAATACATATGAAAAAGCAAAAACAGATATCTAAATGTATAAGGGTGTCTATGAATATGTCAAATATATGGAATACATTGATAGACGTGGACATTTTTTTGTGTCATTTCCTTCTATAGTCCTCTTGTATTATTAAATAAAAAGCACTGACTAGTTTTCTCATGGAATTTTGCAGGCTTCCATTGCAAGATACTCTGGATGGCAAATAGCGTTTACACTGTGGGGTGAGTTTTTCATCATCTAAAAACAACTGACAGGTTCTGTGTGGTGCTTTCAAGACAAGAACAACTGGAATGAGAACGACATCTTGCAAAAAGATCAGGCCTAAAATATATTTTTCTGGTGGTTCTTCAAAGGACCACTGCACCAGGACGTAAGCCTAGTTAGAGGCTAATGTATTCAAATATTCTGTAACAGTGCTAATTAACCGGACCCAGTCCACATATTATATACATCAATTATATATAATATTCATTGTCATATAATATACAGCAAAATGGCCTGACACCAGCTGACTCCACCTAAAACATTTGTATTCAAATGATAATAGTCACATAATATTGCAGATCTTCTTCTTTTTTAAAAAAAAAAATATTGTGTAACTATGTTTGCTGATTTATTTATTTTTTTCTCTTTTCTTTCTTTTTTTTTTCCAGGCTACCTGATTGTCCATTTTGTCCACTTCCTCTTTGGTCTGCTGTTGGCCTATTTGCTGATTCTACCCATAGTGCATGGAAAGGTGGTGACCATGCTCAGCAACCTGGGAACAATAATGTAAGGCTGCTTCAACTGTGATTCTGGCTATATGAGGGAATAGTAACGGATGGAGACACTGACTGAGTTTCTCTTGTCTCTCAGTCTGAGCATCGCTCTGGTGATCGGACTGGTGATTGTCCAGATAGTTCTGGTTCAGATCTTCTTCCTTCAGGACAAAATGTCTCCCACAGATAAGGAGAAACCCCTGGCACTCAACAACAGGTTCGTATATCTCAGGACTGTGAACTTCACAGATCGATCCCTTACTCGTCAGCAGACACTGGGGAATCATTATCACCTCTGAAGGTATTTATCCTCCATTGCACAATGAAATAAATCAGCTCCAGTAGACAAACAGTTTTGTCAGCCATTACCAACAAGGACACATCTGATTAATCTCCAATTCATTCTCGCTGAAGCGTGACAACAAGCCACAGTAACGAAGAACTGTTTTACTTAAGCAACTTAAAATTACAATTTCCCCTCTTCCTCGTCTTCAGGAAGGCATTCCACTGCTTCAACTACTTCTTCTTCTTCTACAACGTGGTGATGGGATTCACCACCTGCATAATGAGGCTGCTGTCGAGCATAGTGGTGGGAACGTGGCTTGTGTCCCGCATAGACCGAACTATAATGCAGAGGGGATATGAAAGCGCAGATGCTGGTAAGATGGTGCTTTATCATTTTTAAAATACTAAATAATTGCATTATTGTTATCGTTTGATGTCGGTGGGATTTGCCAATTGATACTGCTGTTAGCTGCTTGCATCGACATGCTCCAGGAGAGGGCAGCATTTCACAGACAGTTGGAGTCGAAATGTAGATCAGAAATTAAGAGGGAAGATAAACACATTTGACACACTCATCTGTTTATTAAAAAATGGAATATTCCTTGTCAAAATACATGGGGGTCCAATATTGCGCCTAAAAGTGATAGAAAGGTTTGTGACCACTGGGAGCAGCTTGGTCATTATTCCTAATAAACAGAGATGTGACTTTTTTTTTTTTTAACTTAAATGATATTTTTTTCATCGTAGACCTGCCAGAGGTTCATATTAAACAGCCAGTAATCTTAGCTTGATTGTATTTGTTTGCTTGTATTAGTGCAGAGCTTTAGGCTGCAGCATATCATTGATATGAATTAGTTTTTCATCTTTCTCAAATGCTTATTGCTTAACATTGTAATGCAGTGCTCTTTCTTCTAAATGCTGTCTGAGTTGTTGAGGGAGTCCATTAAAATCAGAAGGACCCCCCAAAAAAATCAAGGCTGCAACTAATCAGAATTCCAAACCTGTCGCCTGACTTTGCGACCCTTTCATGAATTATAATACTGTCTGCATTTGTGCATTTGTGGCTGTTTCTAGGTAGACCTTATTAACAAGAGGAGCAGAGTGGTTAAACGTAGCTGTACTGGGAATTTGAACTACCCTAAGGCCAAACAATGCATGGGAGCACAACATGGGAGTGATTCAGCCATAAGATTGTAGGTTATTGTGGATTTGTAGGTGGAGATAAAAATCAAACACCTCAAACAAAGAGAGACATATTAGATCTAAACCCTTAAGGTTACCTGTTGCTCTGGCCACAACAAGAACTTTGAATTTTTAACTCTCTTCTAGTCACCTTACCTGGGTGGCAAAACTGTTTTTTGTTTTGTTTTTTTCTTCCTTGAGTTGATGTCTCTAAAGGTTTTTTTTTCTTCCTTTTCTTCTTCTTCCTGTTAAGGGTCCCGTAAGTTTGCTCAACTCCATTTCTCATCAAGGATACTTTACACTGATTGATATACTGCTTCAGTGCATTTGGTTTTATCCTTTGACTAATGTTGATTTAAATGTTGATTTCCTGTTATGCATTTTATCCTCCTTTGTCGACATAATCCTTGACTAGGAACATATTTTTTAACAACCTGTGAGAAGGCTTTGGTTGTTGTATTAGTTACGTGATGCCCCAAGAGACCAGAGACAGAAAATGATGCTAGAATTCCATGTTGTACATCTGTGATAATTGCAGTTATAATTGCTCTGTCTTTTTCCTCAACACCTTGAAAACGGCGCCAGCTGTTGGTGTGTGTGTGTGTGTGTGTTTTTTTTTTTAATGCTGCCAGCCCACTGAAATGAAGTCTTTTACTTTTCAAACCCAGCTTGCGTGCCTGGACTTGGATTTTCTGATACCACTTTTTTGGTCCACTTCAACCACTGCTCCAAAATTTGTTGTAGCGGGGTTTTTCATCAGTATTACAGTCTTACAGATGTAGAGAGAGGATCTGGGGAGGTACAACGACCGCGAACATTGGTAGGATTGGCAACATTTTATGCAGATAGTATAAAGGTATGGAGGGTACAGCATGTAAATACAATAATGATCAGTGGGTGCTAAACAATATCATAAGTAAGGAGATTGAGAGTGAGACAACAAAGGTGTGACAACATGAAAAAAAAACCCTTGGAAGACTTACAAATTCATTTTACAGGAGCCATAGATTGATTCTAACCCCAACAGAATAACAAAGAATGTCTTTTTTTCCATCAGTGGTTAAATGTGTATTCCTCCTCATAATCTAACAGTATTTCCTCTATGTTCTAGGTTACAGCACATGGATTGGGATGATCTTTGCTGACCATTATCATAACAACCCAGTCATGGTTTGTTTCTGCCAGCTGCTGTTCTCCAACCCGCCAAAAAGTCACCTTACATCCGCATACTCCACATTCAGCGACGCTATGTCGGGTCAGTAGAATGTGTTTGCACCTCCACCATGACCAATCATTTACTGCTTTCACCTAATCTTTCTCCTGCTTTTGTTTCCTCATTACTTTTTCAGAAACCCCTGTTAATAGCCGGGCCAGGAGGCGCTGGGCGTTGTTTTATACCTTACTGAGGAACCCTCCTCTCATCCTGCTCAGGAAGCACCACCTTTCTTCGTCATTGTCACCAATATCCCCATCTTCGCCGTCAGAGACTGAAGTGCGGGCTTGGGTCATGGCATCTCAAACACAGAACGGGCTAGCAGTGTCACTACCAGAGATCACAGTCACACCAGCAGAGGACTGTTAAGGAAAACACTTCCCTAGATTCTGGCCCATCCAAAACATAAGCTGGAGACCTAAATGAATGTCAGGGCCTTCAGGGGCAGCTATATATGTTGCAGAGAGAACAAAAGCTGTGGTGTTTTCAGTGAGTCTGCTTTGAAGGCTGTCAAAAGTTTTGGCAAAGTCACTGCATCTGATATTTGTCACTGATATTAACGTCTTCTAGGGCACCACTGACATATGGCTTACAGGGTATATTGTAGAAAATGTGATGACTTTTTGGGTCACCAGTCTATCAACTCAGAGTATTACAAATACAAATAACACACACACAAAAAATCCTGGGTAATTTACTTATTTGGGTTTTAATTTAGTTGAATTGTGAGAACTAGTGCCACAGATTAAATGTATGCAGCTTGAGGCTTGTTGTCTGGAATATGTAAGCTTAGATTTGACTTGTGTGTATAAGCTAAAGCATCAGCTGTAAATTTAAATGTGAATTCAAGTCAAATTTAATCCGCTACACAGCATATAAACACAGTCGAGGTGAAATGGGAAGGTTAATCACAATGTCTCATCTATTCTGCACATGGATCTGCAGCTGGGTATTTTTTGCTGAGTTTATTTTGTTGGGATGATGTGAGCAGAGAAACTCCGCTTATTCTGGATTTGTCTGATGGAATATAACTGGTTATAAACACTTATGCATAGTATGTTCTGAATAAATATTTGCTTGTAATAAAGGGTGATTTGTCATGCAGTTTGTAGAACATGGCAAATAATTTTGTGCAGCTAAGCCTCTATTTTTGTATTTCAAAGTTGTAAATATTGCTTGCTCTAGAAATAAAAGCAGTAAAATTGACTTTTGTGATGGCCTAAGAAGCGTCCGATCATTTTAATTGATGCTCTGAAGAACCGATTTAGCGGATATATCAATTACCAATTGTAAAACTCGCTTTAAATTGAACGTATGACGCGGTTAACTGTGAAAATAAAATTTTCCGACAGCACTTAAAAGCAGCATATTTTCAGTCCTTTAATATATAACTGACAAGTTAGTCACCAAAGAGATACAACAGGTAGTTACATGTTTATTAGATAAATAAAATAAGGAATAAATGTGTTGAGAATAATACTAAAATAAGTCTATAATTTAAAAAAAACTAACAAAAAAAAAAGCTACAGGCAGGGTCCTGTTCACTATGTGGGCGTGAACGTGGACATGACTTTGAATGCGTCGAGAGAAAACCAACGGCAGTTTGGCTAGCTGGCTAAACTAAACAGGTAATATTAACATAAAAAATATGGACATACATCGTTAAAATTGAGCTACCGTAACTGTGTAAATACAGATTATTGTAAATGGTATATAAAACGTCAAAGGTAGTCCACCGTCGGAAACGTGTTTTTTTTTTTTACCGCTAGCTGCAAACACCTTGAGCTAACAGTTAGCCGTTAGCTTAAATCTTTCGAAAAGGCCTGTAATGACCATAAGGACATTTTTCTCCGTGGAGGTTGAAAATAGTGTAGCCGAATATCGCAGTCGTGCCAGGATACTATAACGCAAACCTGGTTTTATTACAGTTTATTAGTAAATGAGAAGCGCCAAACATGTACGTATCGCTGTCAACACACGTAACTGCTAATCTCACCTCCTTCGGGCTACACAGTACGACCTGAATTCATGAATTTGTTTGTTTGAGAACCTGGAAAGTAACTTGATAACCGATTCTGAAGCACAAACCTAACTAGATTGACTCACACGTTTTGTTCCGCTAACTTGGCTAAGACAAATCGTTATATATTTACTGTAAGATGGAAAAAGGCATTGTGACTCAATGCTGCTCTCCATGCCTTAAGTTAAATGCTAGTGTTTGCAAAGTGAACACAGATACTGTTAGTCCTTTGGTTAGATCAGTGGTGAAAACTCATGTTTTTCATGATCAGATGTGTCAGGCTTTAAAATGAGTTATGTTCATGTCTCTGCCAGTCTTCCTGTTGGGTGCTGGAATATTAATTCAACTAAATTTGTTAGCTTACTGACGCTGAGTAATCTTGATTCAAGTCTGATTGAACCAGTTCTTCCCCCTTTTTGAGGTGTGTTTGAGGTCATTGGTCGGACGATTTTTGGTTTTCCTGAAGAAAGTGGAGGTAATCTTCCTCCTCCATCTGACCACAGAAATTTTCTCCAGAAGGTATTTTCATTGTTCACGTGATCAACAGCAAACATTAGTCAAGCCTTACAGCCTCTCAGCTCATATTGATGTAAAACACACTTGAATGTGAACACTGATACCTGTGTTCCAGCAGCTTTTGGTGATTCTTGGTTGACCATTCTGACCAGTTGTCTCTCAGAAGCAGGTGATGGCTTGTGTTTTCCTCCCGATTGTGGCAGTTACACAACTGCGCCATGCTCTTTATACTTAGGGACAATTGTGTGTACTGATCAGGAGCTGCTTTGAAATGGCTCCAAGTGACTTTCCTAATTGTTCAAATCAGGAAAGATTTGCTTTTGTCAGATCTGTACTAAGCTCCTTTGGCTTCTACTTTGCAGTGTTTGTGACTAAGTCTAGGTGTGTCAAAAAGGCCCTATTGAAATTGACTCAGAAGTCAGCAGCTGTAGTCAATCTTCATCATTTGTGAGGAGTAAAGCAATAATGCCATGAAGAATATTTGTTTACCACAGCTTTCTACATCACCAAAAGTTAAAATTGCTGTTTGTATAGCTTTGACCCAGCAGATCATATTTTCGGAAGACCTATAATAAATCTATCAAAGAACCAAAATGCATGATTACAGAAACTTCAATATTTGTAGGAATCATTTTAAACTCAAGACTGCCATTGATGTACATGGTCTTGACAAGTGTATGTAAACTTTTGTTCACAGCTTTGTGTGTCTGTGTATATATTTTATATGTGTAGATCTATTTTTAATGCTGTTTTTTTCCTTTTCTTTATTAGTCTCTGTTTACCAAGATGGCGGACAGTGAATCCATTAAGAAAATGTTGCGGTCTGTACTCCAGTCATTTAAGGACGGCGTGTCTATCAATAACCTCCAGTCAAAGTACCGGTCACTGTGTGGAGAGACAATCCCGCTGAAGAAGCTGGGCTTCTCAAACATGGAGGACTATCTCAGAAGCATTCCCTCTGTGGTGCACCTAAAATACCACATGGGTGAGGTGAGAATTACTTTAATTGATAACCTCAGCCTGACTTGGTGTGATTTTGCACACAAAGGATGTATGGCCTTTGATCAGCTTGTGTCTACACACGACTGAGAACCTCAGAGCTGTTTATTTATGGCTCAGAATATGTAGCTAAGTCTTAAGCAGTGTTCAACGTTTACATGGCGATGCATGTGTCCGTAAGTGTATCCATGAATCTGTTTCGTAGTTAAGGTGCTTTGCTGTAGTGTGTCAAGAGACGGCCCACATTGCAGAGCTGGTTGCCAGGCAGAAGAGCGCCAAGAGAGGTGGTCGCTCCAAAGTCGTCAACTGTGAGATGAGGTTCAAAGCTTCCAACCCTTACATGCTGAATGGTAGGAAATACTTGTTACGTAGAAGAATTTTGTCTCTTAAATCACAGCTCTGTCTTCGGCTTTTTTTCTACAGCCTTTGAAATACTGAGATATATATATGAAGTAGGGCTGGACCCAAATAGCCAACTAATCGTTCGCTGTGCTGGAATCGGGATATCGATATTGATCTCTGAATACCCCCCCCCATGACCGCTAACCTAAACACCTAAACTGATCTTAGTAGCCAAATGCTGCCTGTGTGTTCCGCCCACTTCCAGCCTGCACTTTCTCTATGCTTGCTCCCGCACTGGTCTTAGTAGCCAAATGCTGCTCCCCCATCAGAACGAATACCCACCCGCCACCACCGTGCGGCACCCCCAATTATTCAAGATATTCGTCATTATTTGGGGCCGAATATCCGGAGAACAGAATTTGCTATTCGGACCAGCCCTAATATAATAAAAGATGGGGACATAAACCTCCAAAATTCTTCCTTGTGATCCCTCATTGTTCATCAAACCTTGTTTTTATGTACTTCTGCATGATCTGCTATCCCACTTTCTTTCTGTTTAGCGGCACCAAGGTCCTCTCTCCGCCAGCCTGTTAGTGCTTCCAACTGGTCAGCAAACCGTTCTCGGAACCATTGTGGTTTCAGAGGCTTCAGTGCCCAAGGAGACTACAGGTAGACAACATCAGCATTATAGTTTTTGCCAGAAAAAATGAGAAGCAGTAGCTGCACATGGAGTCTGGCCATTCTATAATAAAAATAACCCAGGAAGTCAGGAAACCTAATGCGACTTGTGATGGTGTGTCTATTTGTAATTTACTTTGCCTAGTATTCATGCTAAGAAGAAATTCTTTGGTGAATTTAAAAAACTATGTTCTTCTTAAACATCAGGCGGTTGGACCAAAAGCTCAGCTCAGTCACCCCTGTTGAACACAGACATCCATTTCCTCAACCAGCTGTGAATGTCATATCTAACAGGTAAACGTACACAAAAGAAACTAAACTCAGCCGTCTCAATAATTTCAGACAATTCTACATTTTCAGTGTGTGAGTCATGGCCACACAGATGTATATGTTAGCATGCCAACCACACTTTTTAAAGTTGAAACGTTGCTTAGGGATAGTTCAATGAATGTATTACGAGAGGAGTTTAAATTACAGACTCCTGCCCGTTGTTTTGAAAACTGCTCACAATTTAGGCTCAACATATCAGCATTAATGGGTTTGGAAAATGCAACTATTCTCTGAAATTATTATATAAACTGGAACAACATGGTTTGGAAATGGTTGAGTAGACCACTAGAACAGCCTGTTGTGTCGGTTCTTTAACTGAGGCAGAATGTGTGAATTGAAAGTTAGCTTGTTGCTCTGAAAAGTGCATTGTGTTTTAAAGACTGCCGTGTTGCCAACAGGAAAGAGAAGAGCTTGGCAAATGGCACAAAGCCCAGAGGTAGGCCCTTATTGATTCGACAGCTTTTATTGCTTTTGAGGTTGAATATATTCAGAATTTTAGATTTTTGGGTATTTTTGTACAAATAGATTTTAATGTGCCATTTAGGCAGATTTTCCAATTGTTCTTTTAAATCAGACTGTAAAATATATTTTTGTAGAAACATGCAAGACACACAACACACACAAGAAATCTGCTGTTGATTCAAAGGCAAGTTTGTTAATAAATTGAGCTGTAGTTTTGCTAAGTATGAAGTCAATTTATATTAAAATGAATATAGATTAAAGTTTAACCACTGTCTCGGTTAAGTATGGCTATGTGTCAACTGACGGACTTGGAATGGACTAAAATCAGAGAATCAGAAAATAATCAAGCTTTATTTGGTCAGTAATGATTGTTTTAGTAAGTATAATGTATTTGTAGTATATATGAAGTTTGTAGTTCAGCATTCACCAAAATGTTCGACAATAACAGACAAAAGTAAAACATAAAATAGAGACACAATATTGCAATCGTAAAGATGAACAAATAGTAAATTAAAATAATCAATGGTGAGTCAAAACTGACTTTTAAGAAAGTTTTTTGGTCCCAGTAATGAGCCTTCTGGTCATCTTAGTTTTATTGCTTAACTTCTTCTTTTGCACTGTTTTTCAGATATGCCTCCTGAACAAGTGCCCAAATCTAGCCAACCCCAGGTACAGAAATAACTTCCTCTGTGCTTTCTATGCATTATATCCAAATTACATTCCTATTACAAAGTGCAATGCAGAAGATCGAAACTATTTTGGTGATTAAATTCCCACAGAATCAACATACAAACTGTGTCGCACAACACTGAAGTCACATTACGGGGCTTCCTTTAGCTGGGAATCGTAGTAACTGACTTTAACAACAGGGGTATGGCCAGAGGTGCAACATAATAGACATTGTTTTGTAATGCAACACAAGTAATCAATCATGTGAATCTCTCCGTGCAGCATAGTCTGTATGATGTGGCGCTAGTGCAGAGCAGAATGACTCAACTCCTGTCGAAGTACTGCAGTGGAATGTGGATGTCAAAACTGTCAGAGGTCTACGGTCTAATGTTCGAACAGAAGCTCCATCCTCAGGTGCTCATAGACGTGGAGGGGTGGACACACATCTGTCAGGTGAGCATCTACTAGCTTTTAACTTAATCTACAAATTACATCAGTGACAGTGCATTTGGGACGATGTGTCGATGGGTATTCTTTACACTTGAATAAAAAAATAAATAAAAAAATGAAATGCCGACTGCAACCCCTGTTAAGTCAAACCCAGTATCTTGTCATTAGAGAATCTTTATTGTTTATGTATGTCAGTAACATAAACATATTTTTAATAGTTTAATGAGTGTGTTTAGTTGTGTGTTGAAAAGCTTTGATTGAAACGTCAAATCTCTCTTTGTCATCTGGCTTCCACAGGTGGAGAAACCTCCTATTTCCAGCAGAGCTGATCGGCTGATCTACCCTCCTCTGCCGCCCAAGCCCCCTACAGTCCCTGTTAAGAGCACCGCCTCCCCAACAGCATCACAGATCAATTCAAGCACTGTCACCAAACCCACTTCTTTGTGCCCCTCCAGACCTGAACAGCTTGCTTCACATCTCCAGCCTCCTTCTGTTCTTACACCCAGACCTTTCCCGGCAATCCCCATAGAAAAGAGGCCTTTTCGTTTTCCTCCTCCACCGCCTGCAGCTGCCGCTTCAGACAAATGGGATTGGGATTATCCCAGTGTACCTACAGATAGGTACAAAGAGAACAACAAGACTCCTTCCTTAGCCTCTACCTGGACTAACGTTGCATCGACCAACACTTCTGCAGCAGATTCTAAATCTGGCCATGGCATGTTACCTCTGTTGAAGGTTGTGTTGAACCAGTCATTGAATTCTGCCTCTTTATGCCCCCCAAAAGTTGTTTCAGCTGAGGTGTGTCAGAGAGTACAGGAGCTTCTGTCCAAGTACAGCTGTGGTCTGTGGGCCCATGCTTTGCCTAAACTTTTTATGGACACATACAAGATGCCATTCCCTGAGCATGTACTGGACAACTTGTCTCTGTTGCTTGATATATGCACTGTGGAGTATCCCTTGCCACATGACAAACGCAAGGTAAGAGAATGAATTACACAGTGTGTGATAGGTAAAAACATGTACAAGTTAAGAAAGTCCAAAACCATTACCTTTGAGGGTCGTTTTTCTTATCCTCCCATGTGACACTTTCTCTTTTACAGGTAAAAAGTAAACCTTACTCTCAGACAGATGATAAATTGGAATGATGATTAATCTGGGAAAAACAAGAATAGTTTCCAACTGTTGTAATAATGATTTCCTCTAGTATCACCTTTAATTCTTCAGATAGCTCAAGGGCACCTTCCTGTTCACCTGTCTGTTACTTGTGTGTCTCGATGTGTTTGTTGACGATGTCTTGTATGGTCAGGCAATCCTGTATAACTCCAGCAGAGCAGACATTGAATCCACAGACGGCCAGGACAGCCAGCAGTACAGAAGCCATCCCCTCCCTAGTGGTTTGGAGGTTCTGGGTCCTGTGATTCCTCCGAATCTAGTTGTTCCCTCAGAGCAGTACTCCTCAGTACTGGTTACTGAGGCCAAGAGGAGCAGTGCTGTCACTGTAAGGTAGAAGACACGTTATTCATGGAGGTGTTAGTGTACTCGAATTTGTAACTGAATCTAAAAACACATTTTTAGGTACACACAACAGAAGAGTGGTTCACCTGCCAATGAAAAACTTCTGAGAATTATTTTGTAACAAATTTTCTTGTGAGTTAAGTGGGTGACTGTTAATCCTGTAGTAAACCAAAAAGTTCTTCGGTGTAGCACTCTTGAGCCAATGTAGACAGTGCTTGTTTACAACACATGCATCAAAATGCAAAATACGAGAAGGTAGTTTTATCAAGTTCCTGTTGAATAAGCTCCCAAACCCTCAGAGTAAATTTTTTAGATGACTAAAATTATTTTTTTTGTCTATCCACAAACATAAAAAAATGTAGATTTTAAAAAAAAATATCTCTAATTACGGAAACAGTGTTTTCTACCTTGAAAGGAAAATCAGTGCTCTAAATTTTATTTGATTATACATTGTTGCAAAATGTGTGTGTCAAACAGGAAGCAGCAAGAGTCTCATCAAAATAACAGTGGACTGCAGTTACACACTGTCTGATGCTGTTATAATACTAAATTTTTACATATGTGACCCATCTGCATGAAATCAGTTGCACTGTGCCTTGGGCGATATCCGAGATACAGCCTGAATTACGTTAACACATGATAAAATATTGCTTTTGGGTTTATTACTTAGATCGGTCCATTTAGTTGTTTTCTACATGTAGGTAACATATAATATCACAGAGTGTCATAATGTTACGCTCCATATTGCTGCCAAATACCGTTGGCGTGCATGAGCGGTAGCACCAGCAAGAAGAGGCAGAAATCACTTGTGTGCAGGCGCCGCGAGCAATGAGTCATTGTCAGCCAATCCTGTCCCATGATTTGCATCATGTGGTAGCAACATGCCGCTTTTGTTTATGCATAATAGCCCAAGGTGTAATGTGACTGATTTCGTGCAGATGGGTCACATATATTTAAAACTTTTCCACTAATACTCCAGATAGTATTATGTCACAAACATTTTTCCATCCATCCATCCATCCATCTTCTCCCGCTTATCCTGGGTCGGGTCGCGGAGGCAGCAGCCTGAGCAGAGCCGCCCAGACTTCCCGATCCGCACACACCTTCTCCAGCTCTTCCGGGGGGACCCCCAGGCGTTCCCAGGCCAGTCGAGAGACATAGTCTCTCCGACGTGTCCTGGGTCTTCCCCGAGGCCTCCTCCCGGTGGGACGCGCCCGAAACACCTCCCCAGGGAGGCGTCCAGGAGGCATCCGAAACAGATGCCCGAGCCACCTCAGCTGGCTCCTTTCGACGTGGAGGAGTAGCGGCTCTACTCCGAGCTCCCCCCGCGTGACCGAGCTCATCACCCTATCTCTAAGGGAGCGCCCGGCCACCCTGCGGAGGAAACTCATTTCGGCCGCTTGTATCCGCGATCTCGTTCTTTCGGTTATTACCCAAATCTCATGACCATAGGTGAGGGTTGGAACGTAGATTGACCGGTAAATCGAGAGCTTTGCTGCCTTGCTCAGCTCTCTCTTCACCACGACGGTCCGGCAACACTGCAGACGCTGCACCGATCCGTCTGTCAATCTCACGCTCCATCCGCCCCTCACTCGTGAACAAGACCCCGAGATACTTGAACTCCTCCACTTGAGGCAAGGACTCTCCACCGACCCGGAGAGGGCAAACATTTTTAGTGAACAATTTGCAACACTTTAATGCTTCCTAGGATATGCAGAATAATTTCAGCATTTTAGACAGCTTAACTTTAATGAAAACTTGAAGTAACAACAATAACATATGAACTGGATATTTTTGTTTTGTTTTGTAAAAGCCATATCCAAGTGACTGTTTTTGGAAGCCTGTCATGCATAGTTTTCTTCGTCTCCTCTCAGGTATGTAGGTTCGAACTACTCCCATGCTCTGGAAGCCATGGAGGATATCATGAATTCCTTCTACAGCCAAAGCTTCCCGCAGCAACCTCTGTCAAACCCCACTGTTGGCCAGCTTGTAGCAGTCAGAGAGGAGGATGGAGGTGATCTGGTCAGAGCACAGGTCATGGAGGTTGTGGCTCCCAACAGGATCAAGGTACCTTCTTTAGTTTGTTGAGAAGTTGTTTTTAATGGGGGGGATGTTAATTTAATTCACTGTACCTCTAGATGCCGAAACCCCAGAAAGTGTCAGTGGGCCAGGAATACTTTTTTTTTGTTTTTATGTTAGTTTTTTAAGGATTAATTCATAGCTTCTGACAGTTTTCATGTTAGCAGAGAAAAACATGGTGTAGCTACAAAGGGGTCATTACTTGCACAAATATAGACCTTTTGCCTGTCTGTCTGTCAGGCATACTACATGGACCATGGCTTCTCTGTGGAGACCAGTGGGAATAATCTGCTGGAGCTTCACCAGGACTTCCTCTCTCTACCCTTCCAAGCTACTAATGTTAGGCTTGCAGGTAAAATAAAAAGTTGATGAATTGACTGGGTTTTTATGCAATTAATGTCGATTAACAAAACAGCACCAATTATACATAAAGGCGAAAACATTGTACATTATAGGTCAGAAACCACTTATATCTCTGAGTCTTTACTCCTGTATCTTCCTGATCTTCCTCCTGTCAGGCTTAGAGGCATTCAGCTCCCATGCACTGGTGCAGTCCACTCTGGATGAGCTTGCAGTTGGAAAGATTCTGCTGATGGAAACATTACAGCTGTCTGAACAGAATGAAGTACCTGTGGCAGTGCTTTATGATACTTCACAGGAAGAGGACCTTAATATCAACGCTTCCTGCCTGAAGGCTCTGCAGGACAAGACCATGAACAACCCTCTGACTGTACGTTTACATGGCATCATGTTTGTTAGGGGCACAAGCTTCTTATGTGCTCAGACAATCGAATAGCAGTAAGGGGGTTGCATTAGATCTTTTTTTTTTTTTTTAACTTTTCTTTTGACATCATAACTGAAAGTTACCACTGAGTGGCGCTGTTGTATCATTGTCATAGTAGTCGCTTTTATTCTGCAGTAGCTATGTGTGTCGTGAGAACTTAACAGGCCTTCTTTTAGGTGGAAACAAAGCAGCAGCTTGTTAGCTGTCAGTGGTGCATGGATTCGTTTTATCAGATTCCTTACAGTGATCTCACATTATCTTTCTGTTGCGTGTAGCTGAATGTTACTTATCCGGATGTGAGTGTCACAAACGTGTGTGCAGACGGCATCATGTACTGCCAGCTGCCATCTCGGGGATCAGCAAGACTGAAAAAGTTACTTGAAGAAATGGAGGCCTACTTCATCTCCCAGGTAGACAACACTTCAGACTGCATAAAAGTATCAATTTGCCCAAGCATTTAAGTGCTGGAATAGAAGAAAACAAGATAAAAAATTTGCATTGAATGGGTTAGAATGAAGGTAGGATCTCCTGTATGTGTTGGTAAACCACTAAATCCCATCTCCTCTAAGTTTTTTTTAAATTCCCACCTCATTAGTAAGTGGTTTTGAGGTAATACTCGTTGCTACATTACACCAGAAGGTCCAATCACGTATGCTAGGAAGTTTTAGCGTAAGCCCACTCTTGCCCGGTGCTACACTGTGTGTGTGTGTGTGTGTGTGTGTGTGTGACTTCTGTAGTCAGAGTCTGCATTGCAGAGAAAAACATTGGAAGTAAACTATTACTGGTTGTCCATCACTTTACCTCCTAATGAATGAAAATGTATGTCAGTAATTGCTTAAAAATACTTTTTGCACTGTGCAACAGCAGGTCGTTATGCTTTCCACTCAGGATCAGACTATCATATATAATGTTGTATCTCCAGGTGTTGCCATTTCTTGCTGGGAAGTTGCAGTGTAAGAAAATTTTGGATTATTTAGTATCGCCTGGAGGTATGACTGCAGGTTTGCCTTCCAGTTTAGAAAAGGTGGTCATGAATAATGCAAAATTTCTGTAAATAGCTTTTGAAACAACTTGCTGGAGGACAGAGGGGAACCTGGGCTGAAGGAAAGATGAATTTAGAGAAATCCAAGCAACTTTTGTAAATAACATTTCACATTTTTAAAATTGACAATTTTTTAAAAAAGACTTGGTCCAAATGAGTCATTATACCTGATCTTAAACAGCTCTGTGGAACATGTTAGGTTTTATAGAGAGGGTATATGGAATACAAGATGTCTGTTTAGTGGGCTTTGCAGCAAAGAGAGAGGCCCAAAAACTGAATTAGCACAGACATAAGCAGACAAGCAAGGTTTTACAGTCATTGAGATGTTATATGATAAAAGCAGGAAAGGTTTTATATCTTTACATCAAGCACAGAGTTGCAAACACAACACACACATGTTGCAGCTTATGCCACACTCCAGTCTGTGATGTCAAAATAGCTGTTTTGCCTTGATAACTGATGAAAAGCATCCATTGGCTGACATCCCTGGCTGGGTTGCTGCAGCAACATAAAAGTTAAGTAATTTCTCAGTTCTAACGCCTACACTGTAATCTGAATTTTCTAACTTCGATACCTAAATAAATTAATTGGCCCCCTGTGTGCTACACAAGTAGCATCAAATTCTACTTGAAAGCACTTAGTTTGGTTCCCAAATACATTTCTACTATTTGAGGTCATGTCTTCAAGAATCGTCTTCAAATGTCCCACCTGGGATGAGACTTTGATCCCTTCCAAGCTAATGCTGTAACAGATGATGCTCTGAATGCTATACCGTGAGGCAAGTATGTCATAGCCAGGCTTTCATTGTGTAAGCTAGCTCAACAAAACTTAAAAAAGGGATCTGTATCTCTCAGAAAGAGTCCTCACAAAATGAATTGGTAAAAGTAGATGCTTCTTACAGCCGATTTAAATCCAACAACGAAAACTCTGGCTTTAAGCTCAACATACCTCGCTAACCCATTCATCTTGTTTCATAGTACAGCCCACAGTTGTTCCCTGGTGTTTGTTTGATATCTGTTCCTTTCGCAGATAACGTTCTCTACACTTTCTGTGTTTATTGTCTTACATAACTCCAGTTTTTCTCAGTAGAACGGGAGAAGCTTTTTGTAATTGTTGATGTAATCGTTCCTACTAGATGACATCTGATTACCTGGTGTCCAGACCCTTCAATGGCAAGTTCTGTCTAGCTCGCTATAAAGGAAAGTGGGCCAGAGTGGAGGTAGGATCATTAAAGTAATCAGTAAATCAGTAAAAGCTTTGATTATTTTGGTTATGGAGTATTGGGACCAGACAGTTTTAGGTTTGTTTTTTTTTTTTCTTTGGCATCCAATCACATTCTGTTGCTTTTGTTTTTTTTTTCAGATCACCAGCATGTATGACACCAGAGTGATGGAGATCGTCTTTGTTGACTTTGGTGTCCCAGCAACTGTAGAAGTCACTGATCTTCGAGAGATCCCCCCTCTTTTTCTGAAACAGCTCACCCTCATTCCACCACAGGTCAGCTGTTTGTGGGTGTTTGTTGCTGGGTTTGGGAGCACATAGACCCTAATCTCAAACCAGCCCAGTAACTGAAGTAGCATCCTTTCCTCTTGAGAATGATTCAAAGCTTCCGTCTGTAGTACTACAGAAAAATTTGAAAAATACCTACTTTAGGATTTGTGGACAAAGAAGTCAAACAGATTTCAGAAAACACTGTCTATGTGAAATAAGGAAGTTGGGGATTTTTTTATACATGCAAATGTGAATTGGCTTTACAGCAACTTGTATTGTGAGTGTCAAACTAGTGGCGGAAACAGTAGTTTTTAACACAAGTAAAGGTGCATAATTGTTCTCCCCAGGCAATTAAATGTCGCCTGGCTGACCTCACTGTTCCAGAGGGAGACTGGAGCCAAGAGGCTGTTCTGTGGTTGAAGGATGCTGTCTTAGGCTCTGAAGACTGTAAAATGAAGGTAATATCTGGACTACAGTGAGAGTGATGATGATTACAAGGCCTTGACAAAAAGGTTTTCATAAGAGAACTGCCTGATAAACTTAGATGTGTACGTCAAGGTGCCAAAACATTGGGACCATTTACAGATGAAGCAGATAGTGTTGATTATCTCATAACAGTGTATTGCAAAGTCTGGGATGTATTAGACAGCAAGTTGGTTCTCACAGTCAGCATGCTGGATGTGTAAGAAATAGGAAGGTGTAAAGACTTGAAGGAAATGCCAAAACTTTATGGTGAGGTGACTGAGCTGGGTAGCTGGGTAGCTCCTTGGGGCTGTGGCTCTGTTTTTTCTACCCTATTTTCCTCATTCTAGATTGTGAAATTAGATCAACACAAAGGGGATAAGTTGGTCTACATGTACCTGTTCATCGGCAAAGACAGTCAGGAACTGAACAAGAGCTTCAACCGTCAGCTGGTCCAGTTAGAGTTGAGTCGGAAAGTCAGCAGCACAGGTAATGCCGCACATCAAAAAAAAACAAATTCACTCTGGGTCTGAGACGGTTCCCACCAGCAGTCAGTTTATTTTTTGTTCTCTAAACTACTGTTATTACACTAAGGTCACTACGTTCTTTCGGATTTGTATTTAAAATGAGAAGGTCAAAATGAGATTTAGGTACTAAATTTCTGCTTTTGAGAGTGCTTCACGTGTAGCTGTGTTTTCCAAATTTCTAGGTCTCTCTGCTCTAATGGAGAGGTTGACTCTGAAAAGCCCAGTCCCAAACACCACTGTCAAATCCTCAGCCCAGCCATGTCACAGAACTGAAGAGGATACAACCACCAAAACTAGGATGCAGCCACTTTCAATGCCTCCTCCACTGGAACTCCCCCAGGTGGGTGAACAGAGGATAAACTTTGTGTCGGGGCTTGCTTAGCATGTGAGCAAAATAGATGTAAGTGTAAAAGCTTCATGTTGATCAAATCCACACCAGAATTTTGCATTTTTGTTAATCTCTATAATAATACGTTTTCAGCATATGTGCATTTGAATGTCTCCACTGTCACCGAGCTTTAAAGGATAACTTAGATGTTTGGGTTTTTTTCCATGAAAGCCAAAAATCATCAATGAATTGATCTTGCTGACAAGTACTGTGTGTGTCTTCTGTATCATAGAATCCAGTGCTGTCTACGAACTATGAAACACACAAGTGTGCCACATAGTTGGATTGGTCTTCTTGTTTTTTCTTTATGAAACGTTTTGGGCGCTGTAGTTTATGTAGAAACTGCTCCGTATAATACGAGTGTTGCCTCTGGAGAGTTGACCCTGTAAGTCAGGAATCATTGTGCATGACAGGTAGCTCAGTTTACCATTGTTGACTGTTTCACTCATTCATTGTGCTACTTATCGCCACTTGTTGGCTATGAACTAAGATAAATGTACAGTGTCTGGTCTATATATGTGTGATACACAAGAACACTCATAACAATACTCGTATGACCTAGAGCATTCAGTAGAATCACCGAAATTATCCCTTAAAGCTGCTATTAATTGTTTTGTGTTTGTCGGCTGTAAGCTACGAAGTCAAACATACCTCTGCTGGTATTATGGCATAAGTTGTCTTACAAGCATGTATGTATAAGTCGTGGAAATTTGTAATTTAGACTTCTAGTTTGTATAACCCTTGACACTATTCATTCTAACATCAATTCATCGTAGACTTGACTGTATCTATTTTTGACGTGCAGTTTTGGCTGCAGAATAACTGTACGTACAGAAATAGTAGTAATAGAAAACTAATTTTACAGCACAAACAAACTTTGAATAATGTACACCTCGTTGTTTTTCTTCCCTCCTTTCAGCTTGGCCAGAACATGGACGTGTTTGTGCCAGTGGCCTGCCACCCTGGTTACTTTGTGCTGCAGATGTGGCAGGACATGCATAAGCTGGGGGTTTTGATGGGGGAGATGATGCTTTATTACAACCAGACGGGGAAGACCAACACAGTCCCGAACATCCAGAAAGGAGAGGTGTACGCTGCCAAAATAGACAAAAGGTACGTGATTACTGTGTCAGATGCAAACCTGATTGTTGGTTAATAGACCGATGGCCACTGCAAAGGGTGTGCCGACCATCCAGATTTGTCACCTTCCTCCATCACATTACGTTGTCATGGCAACACATCTGTAGACTCACTATGGTGACACTACTTAGTCAAAAACACCACTTCATAGTTAAACCACAAACATTACATATTATCCTGTAGTCTTGAGCGTTTTACACTGATACATTTACAGAAGAGGGAAAATGTTTGTTGATGCACTGCTGTGTGTTATGATATTGTGTTCCTATTAAATTCACACATGTGTTATGTAGGGATATACTTTGACAAAATGGCTTGTAAATAAATCCTGATTAATGCCCTAGAACTTTTGGTTGTGTGCACTTTGAAGGTTATTCGAGATCACCTTTCTATCCTGGTCTGTCACCATGAAGTGTTGAGCAAACTGTATAAACAACAGGTCGCTATTATCAAATGATTGATAATTTAACTCATACCCATCTCTACCTAGTTGGCACCGTGTGCAGGTGAAGGCCATTCTGGCTAACGGCTTGGTTTCTGTCTACGACCTGGACCACGGTAAACATGAGCTGGTCAGTACTACTCTCATCCGGCAGCTGATAGAGGAATTCAGACAGCTGCCTTTCCAGGCTATTGCTGCACAGTTGGCAGGTAATTTATTCTCTTGCAGTTTTATGGGCTGATATGCATTGAAGTAATATTATCGTATATGTAGATGGTTATGGAATGAAAGGCTATTAGAAAAATTTGTTTGGGAATTAAGCACTTTTCAGACAGTAGATCAACATTTAAGCAGCTTTTTTGTGTACCAGAACAGTTTGGGGCCATTGATGTCAGTTATATTGTGATACTCTAACATTCAGTAATTGCTTACATACTAGTTGTTTTGTCTTATTCTACAGGTGTGACACAGCGTCAGTGGTCAGAGGAGACCTCCATGTTGTTCAGAAACCACGTGGAGAAACGAGCGCTGGTAGCCCAGGTGGAGAGTGTTCAAGAAGGGTCGGTGGTCAAAGGTGAGCTGTGGGCGTGCAGGTTGACGGTTTACCTGGTGGACACCACAATGGAGGACAAGGACCTTTGGATACACATCATCATGGCTGACATAGATGATGAACTGTCTTTGGCTGCTTAGGATGTGTCCAAAAGTACGGTGGTAAATGAACCAGAAGCCAGACTCCTTTAATGTTATTCTAAGTTGAACAAACAGTGTTTTTTTTTTTGTTGTTCCCTTGAGTTAAGTCAAATATTTGGAGCATGTTTTGTGTTTGTTATCCACGGCCTTCCCCACCTATTTAATTTGATGTTTGCTGTGCCTTATGCATGCAATGGTGTTGGTCAATTTGCACTTCTTTGTACATGTAAATATGTTTTACAGTCATACGCCAGCATAACTTGCATGACTGAAACAAATAAGTTGTAGTATTTGTAGTGTTGTTAGAACAAAAAGCTGGTCACAAGCATTTGAATTAAAAACATGGAGGTGTACATTGACTTAAAGCAGATTACTGTCAAGTTTAAGTTCGAAACTGTGCATGGCTGGGCCGGTGTTCTGGCAATTTGAGCTGCTCTCTCAGCAGTAAACCAGCACAACAATGTACCTTTCAGTATCTGTTTTGTCAAGCCCAGAATACCTTTGAAAATAGGAGCATGGATGGGTGAAGCGAAATGTAGGTGTTCTGTCTGGTAAAAAAAAAAAAAAAGAACAGAAACTTCAAAGATGAAAGGGAAAAAAAAAAGAAAATCTGGAAATTTCCTCTATCAGGAAATGTGTGTAGGACCTACCCGCACTAGATTTGCTTTCAAAGGTGTTTTAGTCGAATGACAAAACTAACGCAGTGTGCTTGTTTTTTTCATAGTACTTGTTGTCTGACTGTGTCAATGTTTATTTTATTTCACACAGAAACAGTCATGTTTGCTGTATAGTTTAGTTTTCCTCTTGAATCCATAAATATATCTGGCTAATGCTGCGTTACGTCTCTCCATATATATATATATATTTTTTGTTTCACTCCACTTTAAAGTGTAGTCCCTTTTCATATTAAGATTCGACAGAAAAAGATGAAAGCACAAAAAAATGCAAAACACTGCTAAAGATTAAACCTGTGGTTTGGAGCCCCTTTATTGCATCAGCAGATAAACAAAGCAAGATCTTCCCAGTAAACTGCCCACATAGCCACATTTACATAAAAAGTAAAGGTTAGAAAAAGCTCCAGCAGAAGTGCAGCAGAACTTTTTTTTTTTGTCTTTCCTACTCCATTAATTATCTTGCAGCTCCCTGGATTTCTGTCATCACCTTTTGATGTAGAACCACTGGACTATAACACAACTTCACATACAACTAGAACTAGCCCGGCCTTGAGTATTTACACCAGTGCTTAACGCTGTTTGCTTGAAGGCTATTATGTAATATAGTCTGGGGGTGATTTTTTTTTGTTCAGAATAATCACCAAAAGACTCTTGATGCAGATACTGATTATACTTATACAAATGAAAAGTTGTTTACGTTTTTAAGAATTTTATATTGGACCTCCTGGTAGTCACCAAACTAACCTTAACTACAGTAAACTCCCATCAAATTTGCAGTGAGAAGTTGCCTTGTATCTACACCAATCAAACTAGTGACAAATTCTCAACTATTGAGTTTGTTCCTATCCTAATCAGGTGTGACTGTTTAGGACAATGATCAGATTGTGGGACCAGTACACAAACACTCCTTTGGCCAGTGACTACTGTCACCCAGACACCCCAGTACAGGAACCCTGCTCAGCCCTCACAGTAAGGTGGGGACATCAGCTAAACTGAGTTTATTACCGAACAAGTTTCTAATCGTAAAATAAAGGCCATCTGTAAAAATGATTCGTCCAGTTGCTAACTGTCTCTTCACCAGCACCCTTACGCTCTAACTCCAAGGATGCTTAATGAACACTTTGGCTCTTGACAGCTCCTTCCATTTGTAGCAGTTATAGATGCTGGATTTGAGCTGCAAAATCACCTTAAAATGCATCTTTATGACAAAATGCTGGATGCTGGCGTGTCAGTTAGGACTGTATTCAGGCACTTGATTGTAACTTCATCATTTGTCTTCTTAGAAATAGTTTCAAACAGCTCTGGATTGACGTGTCTGACAACTTTAACCCCGTAACGTCTGCCATCTTCGCCAAATCCTTCAGGAAGAGTGGGGCAACCTCAACCTGAGACTGAAGATGCTGTTTTGTTGAGGGGTAGCATTTTATTTTTCAGAATTTAAGGGACGAAAAACAAACATTTAAAAGTAAAAGACTGAAGGAAAAATATGATTTATTACTTTTGGCGTCCAATTGGTTTTATTCCATCAACACTTTTTGTTCCTTCAAGTTAAGTCAGATTTCTACAGCATGGTTACTTAGAAATAATTTCAGGTGGCTCTGTATTGATGTGTCTGACAAACCTTTTAGGGAACTGGGACAACCCTTTTAATTCTGTGCATGATGAAACAAGGCATTGACAAATCATTACTGACTTTTGGGGAATTGACAATTTTGCATTTCCTCAACAAAATGGCTCATCTCATGCATGCACCACACTTAGTGGTTTCATGTAGTCCATTCTGTTGTAAAGATGCCTTTTGGAACAATACATGCACATTCTCCTGTTTTATAAAGAGTGGATAGAGTTTAAGAAAGCATTACTTGCCACGTTTATGTTTAGTGTGTATAAAGATAAGACATTGGGTGTGTGTCCGATAATGGGCGCAGCTGCACTTCATGACATCACTGGAGTGACAGGGCAGCCGTGTGTGGGGGAGGAGGGTGAGGAGGAGGATCTCTTCCCCATAAGTTTACTTTGCCCTTTGCGGGAGATGGGATTCAGCCTACGCAAACCCACCGAGACGCGACCCGGGACGGGAGAGGAAACTCTGTGAGAGCGCTGAAATCTTAGCCGGATCGGCGGATTATCTGCGGGACATAGACGAGCTGCTGTAGCGCACTTTCTTTTTTGGAGGATTCCGCCGCTTTGTGCGCCTTGCAGCGGAGCGGACGTTTCACTGCGACTCCAGGCGGCTCCGAGAGGAAACCATATCTGGTCAAAGTATTCGTTGCTGTCACCCAGCGGGACCGGCCGGCTATAAATAGCTGCTGGAGGAGGTACGGAAATTAATGCAAAAATCACACTGTGAGCAGTTAAACAGTCAAATTAGCCCAGATCGCACGTTTAGGTTAAAACAGTCAACAGTTAAAAAGAAATTTTAAAAAAAATGGACTTGTGGATGATAATTTCCCATGAAGCCTTTGAGAATAAACAGGTTTCTTAACTTTTTAATTTCAGCTCCTGCTTTCCTTCATTTTGGAGAAAACTTTATTGGCTGTTTCAAGGCCTTCTGCAAGTCCTCATACAGAAGACCTGCACAGAGACAGAGAGAGGTACTGACACTGTTTTCATCTTAGTAAGTTGCTGCTTGGAGGTCCCTTCATTGTTGAATAAGCTTGTATGGTCATAATTAAGCTTAAATTTAGGTCTTGCATAATGAGGATTTCAGTCATCAAGTGCAGAGAGATGCAGCAGTTGTCTGCTGACATGTTCCTCTGTGACCTACTTGCATCACTCTTTATTATTGGAACTTTTGTTAGAAGGTTCTGGTTTTACTTGTGGTTTGGTTAAAGCACAAACCTGCATGTTGTGACTTTAAATCTTATGTAAGTTCTCTACTGGAGCTGTTTTTTTTTTTTTCCATGAACTTCCTGATCAAAAACTTGTACAAATACATTCAGAAGTTTGTTTTTCTCCTCTTGGTGTAATAATTTACCTTAACACTGATCAGTGAGATAACCCTAGATAAAATCAAATAGGACATTTTGACCTCAGCAGAATGCACCAGTGGCCTGACCTCTGGTCCAAGGCAACACATGAGCTGTTAGGCCTCTCATCACACACATCATGATATGTGACTCCTTACTGGTCCCCAAAGTGGAGAGTAGCAACGCAACCACAGACACACATGAGTTTAGTGTCCTCAAAATAAAGAACGGGTTAATTTATTGTTCAGAAAAAGGTTTTTAGAATGAGAGAATGGCTAGTCGATGGATGATTTCATGCTTTGTTTTGATGCGAAATGTAAATCCACCTTCATTACAGTCACAGCAGAAAGCACACACTGACTGTCTTGCGGCTTATCTCTGCCACATGACGCAGCTGAGGAAAGCCGACCAGTTGTCTCTCAGCTGTTTTCTGCTGGATCATTTCAGAGACCTGCGCGACTCTTACGACTGCAGAGTCTCATGTTAGACACCATACAAGTGGCCTTGATTCCTCTACGCGGAGACAAATAGCGTTTAAAGTATGAATATCAAGGGGTTTTTTAACAGGTTATTTGCCCTGTTGTCCAGGGTTTTTGAAGATACACTGCTGTTAAATTTGTCAACTGCAATCACCTTTACTTGTTTGAATCTTTATGGATCCTGATATTGTAGCAATAATTGTGTTTTAATTTGAATCTAAACCTGTACAATAGTTCCACATCTATGTGCAAACTTGTGGACGAGGTCGTCTTTGCAACGCAGAGATGACAGCAATAGATCTCAGACTCGCTAAAGACATTTTAAGTGAAGTGTTCACATGCCACTGTCGTGTATGCTGTTTGAAGACATTTAGCAGGAAGTTGCCAACTGAAACACCATAAAGCTGCTGTCGCCTCGCTGCCTGTTCTGTTTTACGCGCTGATTTATTGGCTGTACGAGGTTTTGGCCTTTCTGAGAGCATGTGTGAGTTTTACTGAAATGTTTCATGGCTGAAAAGTCACGGCTTAACCTGGGTTTATGTTTACAATGAACCTGAAAGATTTAGTGGAGAAATTCATGTTGAAGCATTCTGCAGAGGGAGCTGACTCGTTGTTATAAAAGGATATTTGAGTTTTGAACCTTAGCTTCTAGTTTTACTCTGAGAAAGGTTGTGCTCATGTAAGACCAGTTGTCATATAACTTCGCCTTCAAGTTTTATCCACATCTGACTTGATTAATGATCTTGCATCAGTGCGGCTATTCTTAGAGGCAGGACAGGCCAAGGGTCACGTCAGATGATTCTGACTTTACGGGGTACGTTCGGACTCAGGTCAACTCTGCTTGTTTTTCCCCTTCTGCCCAGTGAATGTTCTCTAATGAAGCAGAAGCTTGTAGAAGCGATACAGGCAGTGATCTGTTTGATATCATCAGAGCAGCTCGGCATCTTCCAGCGGACCTGCAGTGCTATTTGGAGCTCAGCCCAGTTCTTCATCTTTGGTTTTGGAAACTTGTCTTGTCATGGGGCTTAGAGAAAGAAGAACAAAAGAACGGCACGCTTGACCCCACCTCTGAGGAGAGTAGCCAAAACACACTTGCTGACATACTTAAGATCAAAAAGAGAAGCTTGCACCCACATTTGTGCTCCTTGAATGCAGCGTTTTCTGCATTGAAGCCGGTCCTGAGCTTCAGCTGAACATTTTCTGCCTAATTTGACAGCATTCTGGCCGTTTGATGCAGGCTCAGTGAAGTTAAAGTTAGCGCTGTCATGTGGACGCCCATCAGCGGCAGCTCAACACATGTCAGACCCTGACCCGGAGCTTTAAGAAACCAGGGATTAGAGACGGCGCGTATGCAGAGTGTTTCGACCCACAAATGTTCCGCTGCAGCTCGTCCATCATCAGTCATCTGGTTCCACAGAGTTAAAGGGAGAAAAACGGATAACGCGTCCTTACTGCCGTCTCAGAAAGAGGAGAGGAAAAGCACATTTCTGAACAAGATATTTGGTTCATCCAGGGTTCAGTTTTACTTTTCTGCAGAGCACTTTGAGAAAAGAAGCAGATGCTCTTCTGACACTGCTTAATAGCAGAGAGTCAGTTACAGGATATAACAGTGAAAGGCAACGAAGCACTGACACGTCTCAAGTAAATAGGTGAAACCTTGTTGAGCCTTTTTTTTTTTTTCTTTCTGTCTTGCCAAACATATTTTGATGACACCTTGTATATTAGTAGATTGCCAACTCCCAAATACATCCCACAGTCACAACAGCCTTGTAACGGTCTTGGACTCTACGGAGCTGAACCTGTCAGCACATATAGACACACAGCACCAGCAGACAATAGATATTATATCATTAGCACGCATCAAACCGTTCTTTTTGACCAGTGCTTACACAGTCAGATAGTATGTAAATTAGTGTAAACTCTGAACTAACACCACACAAACAACCTGGTATCGATGTCTGGTTTCTTGTTTTGTCAGTTTTAATCTACAAATCTAATTAACAAAAGGAATTCTCTTTCATCTGATCTAATTTTAAATCCAGAACCCACAAATAAACACCAACAAAACCGTGCTGAATCTAGATCTCAGTTTCCAAGAGGGTCATTCCGCTTCAATTCACCAAATACCCCACATCTGACCGTCTTCTATTAGAGAGATTTTTTTTGTTGTTGTTGTTGACTGGGTGTAAAATCTGGAGTCATAGGTGACAGTTTTGTATTTAAAAACTCCTGAAGCAGGGAAAGGTCATTTTTGCGTTGTTTTCTTTGCACCAATCTGTGGAGCAATGTTTGATGTGCCGTAACTTGAGAAATAATGTAGCTAGAGTCCTGGAATTTTGCAGGCTTATTGATATCTACTTCACTGCTTTAATAGAATAATACAAACCAGTAAGATGATGGTGCAAATTTGGTCAAAAAATGTCAATTTATTTATTTTTTTGTTGATATTCCACCAACCTTTGGGGAGGGTTTGTTTCACCCTAATAGGAAACAACACAAAAATCAAAAGCTAATGTTACCCATGACCCCAGATTTTACACATATTTTTATTTAATAACATACCAATTCACAGAAATTAAAACTGGACAAATATGAGAGGATTAGGTGTGATTTTTTTAAAATTTAATTTGGTGAATTAAGGTGGAAAGACAAACAGACAATTAAAGGAACAGTTAACATTTTGGAAATGCACTCTTAGTTGTAGAGAGTTAAGAGACAATTGATGTCATACTCACATAAGTCTGTTAAATAGAAGTTGGCAGCTAGTTAGCTTAGCTTAGCTTAGCTTAGCTTAAAGATAAGAAAGGGGGAAACTTTCCAAAAATAACCAAATCCACAAATCTGCACCTGAAAACGTATTAATGACAGCACAAAAACAAAAGTATACAGTTTTACATTTATGCGCTGCACTGCAAAGTAGTCGTACCCAGAATGTCAAACTTCTGTGAAAGACCAACTACTCTGAAAAAAATCCAGCTGATAAGTTCAGTTTGGCTGAAATGACACACGTTGCCATATCAGGAAGTTAAAACGATTCCTCCTCCAGCTGTCCAAATGCTTCCAATTTGAATATTAGAGGCATGTGAACTAACACTGTGAACCTTCAGCAGTAAAAACCTCATCAGATGGTCAGTGCTGTTTATGTTCTACTAAAAGCATCCCAGCTGAGACATTTCAATCAGGAGCTATGAAAAACTGCCAAACAGTTTACGACGTGGCATCAAAGATGAAAAGCCATTTTCAAGACAAGAATATATTTCTCATCGTTCTGTGTTTTTGACAACTGCTTCACGAAAAATGGGCAACAAGCAGAGAAATGTGATGATTTAGTGCATCTGCTGCTTTTTTTTTTTTTTTATTCTGAGAGCTATTCATCTGTCTTCACCTGGTGCTTTTGCCTCTTTCAGGTATCTTGCTTTTCCAGCAGCGCTGAGGGCACTTGGCTGCCTTTGCTATTGTTTTGCCCCTTAAGCTGGGGGTCACTGAGGTGAGTAGATGCTCACTTTGTCTATATCTGCCTTTTTTTTTGCCAGTTTTTTTTTGCTTTTTTTCCCCCCTGAACCTTCAAACATTACTTTTTTCTTGCTTGTTTCCATCAACAGATTGAATTATCTTCTTCTAAGACTCTCCAGGCTCCTGATCTCCTTAACTTTTTTCCATTTTCATTTGGAGGGGCTGCTGAGGTGAGGGAACCATTTGAATGTCTCTCAGCACAAAGTCTCGATCCTCCGAAATCTAAACTTTGCACAGAAAATAATAGATAATAATGATCCAAGCAAAAGTTGGGTTTAACTTAATTATAGAACCTCAAGAAGGTTTAGATCAATATTAAAAGACACTGTGAAAATATTGTCTGAAATCTGAAGATATTTGACAAAGATATCTGTTTATTTTTTGAAAGCTTTTTCTGCAGTGGACCATTAAATATTACTGATATTTTATGTCCAACATATAACCCAACCAGCAGTTGTGTTTGACTTTTCTCCGTCGGCCCTTTTGTAAAAAGACAATATTTGCGTTTCCAGGCGTGCTGTCCACGATGTCGGTGCTGAGGAAGGAGATGGAGAAGTACAGGGACATAGACGAGGACGAGCTGCTGAAGAAACTCTCGGAAGAAGAGCTGCAGCGGTTAGAGGATGAATTAGAGGAGCTGGACCCCGATGTAAGTTTATAATATACAAGTCCACAAGGAGCAGTTGCTGTCAGTATGTTGGTGTCAGTGGAGAGTTATGGGGGCATACGGGCCTCATAGACCCCCCGATGAAACCTACTGCAGCGCAACATACATCACCGCAGCTACATGGTGTTTTCGTTTGAATTGCCGTTAGCTAGTGATTTCGGTTTATAGCCAGTACAGCTGTGCAACACGTTTTAATTCTCTTAAACATACTCGTGAGTGAGTGGTAGTAATGGAAATTATGCATTTTGGCCTCTGGGTACTGTGTCTGCAAAATCAGCCCATCAAATGTCTGACACAGGTGAATGAATGAATGAATGAATGAATGAATGAATGAATGAATGCCCTTTGTTGTCATTATAAGGTGTACAATGAGATTGGAGAGCTTCTCCTATTTTAGTACAAAAAAACAAACAAACAAACAAAAAAAATAAAGTGCAAAATTGCTCAAAACAAGATAAAATGCAAAATTGCTCAGGTAAATATAAAGATAAAAATGGATAAACATATAAAAAGAAATTAGAGATGTCAGAAATATTGCACTAGATGATGGATATATACATACAGATTATGAATATTTACATACGGATGATGGATATTTACATCCTGCACATAGTGGAGGAGTCTTGTGGAGGTCGAGTGGATATTTTATACGTGAGAGTTCATGATGGTGATGGCTCTCGGAAAAAAACTGTTGGTTGGGTAGAAAAATCATAACGTATGCATAAGGCAGCCTTTTGTTTGCACTGTTTATTTTTAACAGCATTTCTATGATATCTTGAAAAAAGCAAGCTTCAATCTTATTATAAAAATAATCCCTTCGTTAAGATAATACATAATGGAGTAAATGTTGCTCCAATGTGTGAGTGAGGACCATGTGAACTAAGACAACTGGGATAAATTCCAGAAAATATTGCAATGCTGCAGAAGGTTTGCCACCATTTTTACCCAGTATTTCTCCTTTTGTATTGTCTGCAGCTACAAAACATCAGTAATACTCGTGCTTGCTTTCTGTCGCTTTTTATGATGTGTTTATTTCTGCATTGGATGCGACAGAACACTCAGCGATGCATCATAGGTCGAGGTGCCGACAGCAGCTGTAATAGCTTTCAGATGAATGTCTGTCTGCTCATAAACAGACTGGAGTCCCCCCTCGATGCCAAGGGGATGACTGGAAGGGTATAATGTGAAGGACTCGGTGTGTGTGTGTGTTAGTGACTCCGATGCCAGCTGTGAATACTGCAGGGACTCCATGACGTAAACAGAAGAGCCAGTCAGAGGCGGTGTGTGTGTGTGTGTGTGTGCATGCATACCTTGTTTGTGGCCGTTTATGAGGGTCACCTGTTACACAACAGTAAAGTGCCCATTTGCTCTGAAACGTACTGTAACTTTTCCATCAAGGCTTCCCACATCAGTTCCAGGAAACCAGCTGAAAAAGTTTCATCATGTGAGGGAAAACAAATTCCTGCCAACTGTACTGTTATTGTAGAAAGATAAATTATCGGCACTCATCAGGAGAACATTTTGTGTTTTTAGTACGCACTGTATCGCCTCACTTGCACTTGGCCCAGCTCGTGTTGTTTACTTCTCTAAGACACCATTGTTTCATCCTTGTTGCTGTTAGGTGAGCTCTGACATTCATCACGTTTTTGGATTAGACGTCTAACATTCAGTTTTAATCGTGCTCCAATGTTGTAGAAAGCGCTGCAGTAATGTTGTTGATGTTGGTCATGATGATGATGATGATGATGATCTACCTTAGAATACCAGTAACATTTCTCAAATCTTGGAAAGTCAGTTGTACAATTAAAAAAAAAAAAAAAAAGGCATTTATCACCGACCCACAGGACTTAAAGGGAAAGTCAGCCAAATTTACACATCATGTCTTTTGGAGGGCTGCAAGGTGGCGCAGTTGGTAGCACTGTTGCCTCGCAGCAAGAAGGTTGCCGGTTCACGTCCCGGTGGGGGCACCGGAATCTTTCTGCGTGGAGTTTGCATGTTCTCCCCGTGCAGCGTGGGTTCTCTCCAGGTTCTCCGGCTTCCTCCCACACAGTCCAAAAACATGCTGAGGTTAATTGGTGATTCTAAATTGTCCGTAGGTGTGAATGTGAGTGTGCTTGGTTGTCTGTCTCTAAGTGTAGCCCTGTGATAGACTGCTGACCTGTCCAGGGTGTCCCCTGCCTTCACCTTAAGTCGGCTGGGATAGGCTCCAGTCCCCCCGCGACCCTAGTGAGGATTAAGCGGTGTATAGATAATGGATGTCTTTTGGAATACAACTGCATATATGAAATAAAGTCGTAAGAAGCTACATACACTGATAAACTCACATTACGCTCCATTTCCAGCAATAAACGGCTAACAGACAAAGTTAGTGACTAGCTGTAAGCACAGCTAGCCTGAAGAAGCTGGTGGAGACCAAAAACAGAGAAAAAAGAAGAGAGCGTATTGGTGTGTTGTCAGAAACTGGAGTTCAAATTAGTGCAAATGTTGCACTGTGTCTGCTGGACTAAGAAGCGAACAAACCTAGTTCACCGTATCAATCCCAAGTTGCCAAAACATATGTTGCTGCAGGTTTTTATGACGATTTTGTCACGTTTTACTCACTCTCAGATCCTAAAAGTCATCTCCTCTCGGTCTCGTGCTCATGTTGCCATTATGTCTCATAGATTATTACTGTGGCTGCTGAGAGGAAGAGGGACTCTCATGCCGTTAAAAATAAAACGCCTGGTCTGAGGCCTGCAATCTACGGCTGATATAAGTGTGACACAAACAGCAGTGATGTCGGGATACAGAGTAGGTTCGCTGTGCAAACCCTTTGGCATGTTTTTAAAAATTGTTTGCTGCATTGCTAATATTATTCCTTGGATGCTTTTAATTAGAGGTGGGCAACCAAACGCAGATGAACAACAGTGAAAGGCAGAAAGAGGGACGGAGCGAGAGCGAGGCCTCCGGGTGCTGAGAGGAGAGATAAGATATGAAGCTATAAGTAGCACTTTAAAGAGCTGAATGTTGCTTTAGGTTGAAAATAACTCGGTGTGCAGTAATAGTCTGGGAAATTTCTCGGTCCTGTGTTGGCCTGATAGGGACTGATGTGGGAGCTGCATTAACCAGAGTAAAGACACAGTACCGCCAGGTCTGTATTTACCTTCCTTTGATTCAGTATTTATTGATTTATGATGATGAGTAATAAAACCTTTTATTCGACATTCTTCTAAAATGCAATGCACAGTTTTTCCTCCTTGGTGCTGAGCATAATTCAGTTTACTTGTCGATAAACACTGTCCATCTACAGTGAGTTATCAGTGTCCATACTGTCAGTCCCTTGAGAATGAAAGGTGTTCTCTGAAGATTTGCCTTTCCACAAACATCTAAGTTCTGATTCAGCACCATCAAGCTAAGTATCACAGTTCAAATCTGACTTTTCAGTCCTTCAGCAGCTCACAGAATCTGTTACGGAAGAAAATACATGGTTTATGCTGGTATAACTGGAGTAAGTGGACTTGTTGCTAGTAGAGAAGTCTAAAGCCATGCCAGCACTTCTGTGAGGATGTATTTAGGCACAGATATGAAGGATTCTCCTATGGGGCACCATGCACATTTGGATCAGATTCTATCCGTCTGTTAGTTCACAAAAGAAGAATTTTCAGCCTCTTGATGATCACTCGGATAAATTCCCTAATAATTAATGAGTCATTCCAGTCTAGACCATTTAGTCCAACACTGAGCAACACCGGCTTAAAATTGAGACTTTCATGACACAACACCTGTGACGTTCTTGCACAACACACACTGGCGATATGGGATATATTTCTCTAATATGTGGTGCAAATCTTTTACATTTAAAATCTCCATCCGTGTCTAGAACGCATTGTTGCCTGCTGGGATGCGACAGAAGGACCAGACCAAGAAAGCACCGACAGGAACGTTTCAGAGAGACAACCTGCTGGCACATCTGGAGAAACAGGCCAAAGAGCATCCTGACAGAGAAGACCTGGTGCCCTTCACTGGGGAGAAGAGAGGTAGGAAGGCCTGTTGAAATCACTACGCTGACAACGAAACCATCAATTTAGTCTGTTTTTCAAGCAAAACAGTCACCTGCTTGGGGTTTTTCTAGCTTCTTAAATACGAGTAGTTGATACTTTATCACACATTGAATGTATTTTAATTTTAAATCACTGGTAAGACAAAAGACATTTGAATGAAATTATAAAAGGCGTTTTACAATTTGCAGCTTTTTTTTTTTTTACAAACAAAATTATTATTAAATTTCTGAAATTTTCTGCAGACTGTTAAAAAAATAGAATCAATGTCAGCTGCAGTTGTTTAGAAACTGATCTTGATGATAACAGAAACTGTCAGATAGATAGATAGATGGATGGATAGATGGATAGATGGATGGATAGATAGATGGATAGATGGATAGATAGATAGATAGATAGATAGATAGATAGATAGATAGATAGATAGATAGATAGATAGATAGATA